CCCTCCCTCCTCCCCCTCCTCCCGAGTCTCCCTCCTCCTCTTCCTCCTCCCGCGCCTCCTTCTCTCCCTCCTCCCCTCCCTCCTCCTTCCCCTTGTCCTCCTCCTCCTCCTACACCCCTGCGCGTGTCCCCCGCCGGCCACCAGGGCTGCCAAGCCAGGAAACTGAGGCTACGGCCCCACAACGCCCCAGAGAGCATGGGCGGTCCAGGAGGGGGTGGTCCTGGCCCTCCCTGCGGGGACTCATCAATAGTGATGATAAGTAGTGACAAGGGACAGGGCTCCCACAACGCCCAGGGAGGTGCCAGGAGCACCTGGTCCCATGGGGTGTGCACCTGTAGAAGGTGTACTTGCACGGTAAGTAGGTAATGCATCAATAATAATAATAATGACAACAACAGCAACAAGAAGGAACACCGGCTCCCAGCACGACAGCAGAAATACCAAAATGAGGCTGCGATCACAGCTCACTGCAGCCTCGAACTCCTGGGCTCAAGTGATCCTCCTGCCTCAGCCTCCCGGGTCTGCAGGGCGCACCTACAGACAGTGTCCCTGGCGCTCTAAGTAGGTAACTCATCAATAGTAACAAAATTGGCGACAAGCGGCAGCACCGGATCCCACTAATTACAACAGGAAAAATACTAGAAGTACCTCACGGTTCTCCAAGGTGCTTATTTAAGTGTCACCGGCTGTGTAACTATGCACCTCCTCGACAACAGGACTGAGATCGGTAAGGAGAAGGAACGCTTGGATACTGCAGTGAGCACTTTTAAGTTTATGACTTGTTGGTTTTTTTCTTGAGACAGGGTCTTGCTCTGTCGCCCAGGCTGGAGTGCAGTGGTGTCATCACAGCTCACTGAAGACTCCAACTCCAGGACTCGAGCGATCCTCCTGCCCCAGCCTCCCGAGTAGCTGGGACAACAGGTGTGCACCATGATGCCTGGCTAATTTTTTCTTATTTTCTGTAGAGAGGCGGTCTCACCATTGTCCAGGCTGGCCTGGAACTCATGGCCTCAAGTGATCCTCCCACCTCGGCCTCCCAGAGTGCTGGGATTACAGGCGTGAGCTGCTGAGCCCAGCAATTTATAACTTATTTAATAAAAATGGCAATATTCTTTGTCATGTGCAGCCACTGAAGAAAAAAAAAAAGTGAAAAAATTTAAAGGAAAAAACAGCAATAATTGTGTTTATATCAACCAGAAGTAATACTTTTTAAAATTACACTGGCTCTGTGAGCATCCTGTTCAAAATATTTCAAAATATATTGATACATTCGGGCCAAGTGCTCTATGGGTACATGTCAGCTCTGCTTGAAACTCTCCAAGTATGTTCCAGAATTAAAGCCCAAGTCCTTCCCAAGGCCCACCAGGCCCTGCACGACCTGCCCTGTCCCATCCCCACCCTCCCCTCCTCCCTCTCTCCCCCTTCTCACTCTGTTGCAGCCACACGGGCCTCCTCGCTGTGCCTCCAACACGCCAGGCGCGGTCCTGCCCCAGGGCCTTTGCACAGGCTGTGCCCTCTGCCTGGAACGCCCTTCCCCAGACAGCACATAGCTCATGTCAATCCCACGTCGCTTCCTCTTCCCGCCTTATCTAAAATCACTCAGCCACCATTTCCTCCTTTCTCGGCCTTCCTTTTTCCTCCGCGGCATTCACGCCCATTGTAAATTGTGTGTTATTTTAACAGACTTGATATTGACAAACCGCATAGCTCTTCCCACGTGCCAGGCTCTGCGCTAAGTGCTCGGCATGTGGTAGCTCGTTCAACCCACACGACAGACCCCCGAGGTGGGTTCAAATAAATGAACAAGAGCCTTTTAGACTTTTAGGGTTAGGGTCAGGGTCAGGGTCAGGGTCAGAGTCAGGGTTAGTGTTAGTGCAAGTGCAGCAAAGGAACTAGTGGAGGCTTTGGAAGGCAAATTCAGGGAAGGCTGAACAGAGGGGATGACCTTCCAGTTAGGATGTGACTGGCGTGTCAGGTGCAAAGGCCCTGGGGCAGGGAACAGCAGGAGAAATGGAGGAACAGCAAGGACATGAGTGACTACGGCAGTGGGCGGCTGGGGACAGTTGTCCCTGCCGGGCTGGAAGGGATGGCTGCAGGGAGGAGCGCCACACCCCGCCCTGCACTAAGCCACATACATGAAATATTAATGCAACGGTCAGGGCCAGGACGTGAGTGATGCAGGTTAGACACTTGCCTCGGATGTGAAATTCACAGGGCAGGAACCAAAAAGTTCAGTCGTCAAGATAAATAACATCCATCCCGCTGTATGGAGAGACTACATGGAAAGGGACGAGGCTCTGACACAGGCCACAGCGTGGAGGGACCTTGAGGACATCGTGCTCAGTGAGAGACGCCAGACCCAGAAGGACACACAGTGTGAGACTCCATTTATAGGAAATGTCCTCCTGTTTTATACAGGGGGGGAAACTGAGGCCCAGAGAGGTTAAGGCACTGATGCAGGGTCACACAGCAAGCATGCTGGGATTTGAACCACGTGCCTCCCACCGTCCCTGCTCACGCCTCTTCAGGCAGCTGGGCCTCAGTTTCCTTATTTGCCAAGTGGGATAAAAAGAGAGAGAACAGGGTGACGCCCCTGGGTGTGGAGTCAATGAGCTCGAACGTGGGCTTGGCATCGTGCCTGCGACATCCTTGGTGCTCAATAAATGGCCGCTTATCACCGTGTGTACCGGCGGCCCCCTGGCCACCCCGGATGGGGGCAGAACATCAGGGTGGGTGAGAGGTCAGGGGTCCTCCCACAACGTCCCCATGCAGTCCCAGGTGCCATGGCCGGGCCCAGCGCTCGACGCCCACCCACCCCAGGGCTGGTGGCGCCGGGCCGGAGTCAGGCTCTGTCTCCATGGAGACCCATGCAGGATGCGCGGGGCCCTGTGGGCCGCCGGCGTGCGGGGAGAGGCGTTCACAAGAATCAGAAGAGAAAGCTGCCAGCCCTCCCGTGAGCCAAACACGCCTTTTTTTTTTTTTTTTCCCAGCTCCTTCCTCCTTTTTCTTCCACCCCCAAACAACAAGAGCCTGGTGGAGCTTGGGTCTGTCCTCTGGGTGCTTAAATCCAGCATTTCGTCTCCCCAAGGACACCCATGCCCGGCGTTTACTCCTCGACAGGGCAGGGCACAGGGCAGCCGCGCACCTGGGAGCGTGTGGAGACCAAGGGTCAGTTCTGTGACTTGTTTTTAGCCGGAGGAAATGTGGTCACCACCAGTGTGACAGCAGGAGGCCCGTGCTGTGGGCTGTTGTTGGGGAAGCAGAGACTGGGGGATACCTGTTTCTTCACACACCTGCCCCAGGGCCTTTGCACTTGCCCACTCCTCACTCTCCCACGAGATTGGCTGGATCCAGACCACGGTTTCTCCCCCTCGGCACCGTCGACAAGTGGCTCCGGGTTGTTCTCTGGGGTGGGGCCATCCTGGGCACTGCAGGGCGCCGAGCAGTGTCCCTGCCTCCACCCACCCCATTCCTTGAGCACATGCGAAATGTCTCCAGCCATCGCCAAATGTCCCCTGGGAAATGGATCACCCCTGGTAGAGAACTGCTGTCCTAGAACGCCCGTCCCCCAGAGTCCATACCCTTGGAGGGGCACTCCCTGCCTGCCCATCTCAGAGACACCCCTCCCCCTGCTGGGCACCGCTACCTCCACAGCTACTCATGACCAGCTACGGTGTCAGCTCCTCCTGGAAGTCCTCCCTGCTGCTCCAGCCTGCGCGTCCACCCTCCCTGCTCTGCTCCCCGCACCCTCCCCTCTGCTGAGGATGGCTCCATCTGCGGGGACGGCACCCGCAGGGCTCAGCAGGCTCCTCGTGACCAAGCACACGGCCCTCAACGATTGAGTGATTTGGGAACCTTTCGTTTTCTCTCCCCTTCTCTGTGGATTTTTCTGTCTTCTTTTGCATTTTTCTCCTCTTCCCACACTGACCGTGAATTGCTCTGGAATCAAGAAAAAGTCTAAAACTTCAAAACAGGAAAGGAAACGGGGCCAATTTAGCAGTCACGGCTGTCAGATGGAGGATGTGGGCATCACAGCCAACACGGGTGACTCTTTTCCCTTCGGTGCCTGGCGCAATCCCGAGGTTCCCGAAGCCGACTGTTCCCTCCGGCTGCCAGGCTCACACCCACGCCGCGGCGTCACCCCGCCTGTGCCCCGCCGGGAACCCCGAGCACACCCAGGGCCCCGTGCTTGCCCGGTTAACGGCGACGCTGACCGATCGTTCCCGGCACGTGCCGGGCGCTGCGCCCGCCTCGCACATGGCGGGGACTGCTGCTGTCCCCGCTTCTCAGAGGGGCGAGTCCAGGTACCCGAGGTCCCAGCACGCAGCGTCTTACATGTCCCACCTCCCTGTATTTTGCCAGATCTATGGGAGCTGCTACTGTTTTCTTTTTCTTTTAAAATTGTGATCAAATGCCCATAGCAAAATTCACCATTTTAACCATTGTTAAGTGCACAGCTCAGCAGCACGAAGCACACGCACGTTGCCGTGCAGCCGTCGCCACCCTCCACTTCCAGAACGTTCTCGTCTTCCCAAACTGACTCTGTCCCCATGAAACACTCACCCCCCACCCCTCCCCAGCCCCTGGCACCCACCATCCTGCTTCCTGTCTCTGCGGATCTGACGCCTCCAGGGACCTCCTGTGAGTGGAGTGGCACAGGATTTGTCCTTCTGTGTCTCACGGAGCACGATGTCCTTAAAGTCCATCCACATGGTAGCCTGTGTTGGAATTTCCTTCCTTTTTAAGGCTGAGTGACGTCCCACCGTGTGGGTGGGCCACGTCGCGTGGATGGGCCACAGGTGCTCCGTCTTTTAGGTTTTGTGGGCTACGTGGTCTCTGTAGCTTCCAACGGCTCAGGGCTCGCCGCTGCGGTGGGAAAGCCCTCAGAGACGACAGGGAAAGGGACGGCACAGCCACGCGCCAATCCAACTTCATCTACAAAAACAGGCCGTGGCGCGGGGCTCAGCCTGGGGGTCGTAGTTCGCTGCACCCCAGCCTGGGCCACAGGGCAGGTCCCTGTCCCTAAAGTCAATAAATAGACAAATAAATAAATAAATATGCACCAGTTATGCCTAGAAAGTGCTGCTTATGCATAAAAATACTTTTTAACATTTTTATATATAGTGGAATGAATCCTGCCATCCTATTTCCAAAGCAAGCTTTCGCGGACACACACACGCATACCCAGGCTCGCCGGGAAGATAGAATGAAAGATAGCAGCGCGCGTCGGCGGAGGTTGTCTTCACCAGCGGGGCTTGCTGGTGACGTCCCTTTGCTTGGTTATGATCGAGGAACCTTGTGTGTAAGAATGAGATGCCGGGCGGCTCTCCCCCTGCACCGTGAGTTCTGCCCGAGCCCACGCTGGGGCCGAGGCTGAGGTGACGGGAAAAGGCCACCATCATCCCCTCTCAGCCTCGCCGGGCGCCTGGTGATCCCGTGGTGCCCTGAGAAGGTCAAGGCCCCGGAATCCCAGAGCTCCCAAAGTTGGGACGATCCGGCCCAGGGAGGCACAGCCCCCACCCCCCTGGGCCACGCAAGCCCTTAAGTCGGCTCCACGGAGGTTCTGGGTCCACCCGTCCCCTCTCCACCGAACAATCTGCTCCCGCCGTGTGTTTCGGGTAGACAGAGTGCTGGGTCCAGGCCCTGTCTCCAATTTCCCAGACGACCCAGTTTGGGAATAGGCAGCTTTGACCCGGGGGACGTGGGAGTCACTCAGGAAGCCTCAAGGGTCTGGCCCCACACACTGGTTTCCAGAAGCCTCTTTGGAACACACAGGACAGGATGCCCCAGCCTCCTCTGCCTCCACCTGGTCCAGCCCAGCCCCCTCCACCCGGGTCCCTGGCCCCCACCCTCACCCGTCTGTTCCCACAGCAGCCACCAGAGGGCGCCTGTGAGCACCAGAGTCAGGGCCCATCCCTCCTCTGCCCACAGCCCTCCGTGGCTCCCAGCTCCCACCCAATCAAAGCCCAAGTCCTTCCTCCTCTCCCGGGGGCCCACCAGGCTCTGCTCCACCTGCTGTCCCATCCCCACCCTCCCCTCCTCCCTCTCCTCACTCTGCTCCAGCCACACGGGCCTCCTCCCTGTGCCTCCAACACGCCAGGCGTGTCCTGCCCCAGGGCCTTTGCATGCATGGTTTCCCCACCTGAAACACCTGCCAGATTTCTCCTCAGCTGGCTCATCACTCAGGTCTCAGCTCAATGACTGTCTCTTCTGCCCACAGTCCTTCCCTCCCTCCCTCCTTGCTTTCCTTCGCTGTCCCCGGCCCCCCAAAACACAAGGTCTGTGAGGGAGGGGACTCTTCTGTGTACCAAATCCTCAGCATCTCAGCAGCAGCGCGACTGACGTTTGTTGAGTGAGTCAGAGAATTGGGCAGGTCGGGCAGGACCTCGAGTACCAGGCAGAACCCGTGGGGGATAAGCTCTGGATCCCCATCTGCTCCGTGGACCCTGGGAGACCCAAACGCACTGGGGACCGCGCCCTGCCAGGACCTCCCTGGAGCCTGGGGCAGGGGGGCAGCCTGGTGACCTCCCGTCCTGGGTTCACAGTGAGCGTCCCCCAAACTCACATCCAACAGAGCTCCAGGATGTGGCCTTCTTTGGGAAGAGGCCCTTCGCAGAGGTCACTAGTGAGGCCAGGCTGCAGGCTGGGCCCTGACCCAGCGTTTCTGGTACTCACGAGACAGAAGGCGACCAGGTGGAGACCAGGGCAGGGACTGGAGCGACACGGGCACAGCGAGGGAGGCCCGAGGCCACCAGAAGGCGGAAGAGGCAGGAAGGACCCTTCCCTGGAGCCTCCAGAGGGGTGAAGCCCTGACGACACCCAGGACCACGCGAGGGTCTCTGTGGTTGTCAGAACCTGCCTGGTTCGCGGGGCTTTGTCACGTGGCGGCCCCAGGAAGTGAGCGCACCTGTTACCCCAGCTCACGGCTGGGGGCGGGGCGGCGGACAGGCGCTCGGGCCCCTCCCCAGCGCCCCTCGCAGCAAGAACCACCTCAAGTCGGCACAGCTGGGTCCTGAGGCCCAGGCAGGGCAGCGGTGACGATCGTTCAATATGGCTTTATTTTCTCACTGGCCGGCTGCCGTCCCACAACAGCCTGAGCTCGGATGGCCCGATCACCTGCCCGGGCAGCTCAGCGACACCCAGAAAGAACCCCCGGTGGCACTCGAGGGCATACCGTCCTTCCATGGTGACACGGAGGCGGCGGCCTGAATCAGTGTCTGGCGTGCAGCACAAGTGCCAGCGGTGACGGGGGCTGACGGGCCCAGCGAGCAGTTTCTGGGGGAGGCGGGCGCCGGGCACGGTGGACGGGAGGCCCCTGCAGGCTGGGCAGGTCCGGGGAGGCCATCCTCTCGCCCCTCCGAGCCGCAGGTCCCCAGGGGTGCTGGGCCAAAGGACTGGTGGCCGGAGCCACAGACACCCAGGCCCTGCCCGGCAGACTCCCCAGCTCCGACGGCCGGCCACGGGCCCTGGGATCCATCAGCTCCAGGCAGCCGAGACCTCGGCAGGCGGCTGGGCGGGACCCCTCCACGCTCCTGCAGCCCCCAGAGCCCCCTTGGCAAACGCGTCACAGATTATATTGCTAGTGAACAGACACACCTTGGTCTCCCTGAGGTCAGTTCCGGCCTCCTCCCCCCACCCCCTGGAGGGGCTCACGCCCCCCGCGGTGTCTGGTTCGTGGGTTCGAGGGCTCGGTCAACGGCTCCCAGCGGCCACGAGGATCACACGGAGGCGCCGGCTGCCCTGGAACACACCCTCCTCTCCAGGGCAGGAGCCTCCTCTCTCCCCCGGCGCCGCCCCAGACCCGGCACTCCCAGCGCCCCAGGGAAGACGGGCTGGTGGGTCGCGGGGAAGCGCAGGAGGCCCAGGACACGCTGGGAACCAGCTCGCGGTCTGGGCCCGGCCGGGGCAGGCAGCCGGGAGCCCCACACAGGTGGGGAAGTCACAGCCTGGGTGCAGCCACCAGCGCCTCGCAGGACAGGCACGTGGCTGGCAGGGAGGGACAGAGGCTCCGCGACGGTCACCACCACGCTCGCCTGTGGTCACACCCCGTGGCTGGAGAAGCGGGAGGCCGGGGGTGCGGCCGGAATCTGGGAACCCGGAGGCTGGCGCCGCCCCTCGGACCAGAGGGCAGAGAGACGAACAGCCACATCCAAGCCACCGGGTCACCGGCGCTCGCAGAGCTGGGGAGGGCAGGTCCGGGGCCACCCCCGCGTCGCTGCCGCGGCAGGAGGGACAGTGGGGGCTGCGGGTGGGCGGGGCGTGTCCTCTGCAGTCGTGCACGTTTGCTCGCACGCAGCGAGGCCCAGCTCCAGGGCTGGGGGCTCGTCCTTGGCTCGTCCCCAAGTCCGTGGCCTGGGACTTGAGCAAGCTCTCCTCCAAGGAAGTTCAAACACAAGAGAAAAAGAAAGACCCCCCAGTCCTACAGAGCAGCGCGGAGGACCTCTGCAACTGGGTTGCTCTGGCGTGGGTGCCGTGGGCCTGTCCCGCCGGGACGGCGGAGGCGGCGGGGAGTGTCCACTCGCTCGTGCGTGGCTGGCGGGCGGGGGGCAGCGAGGAGGGCGCAGGCAGGCAGACGGGGGCTGCGGGGGCGTCACTGAGTCTTGGCCTTGACGAGCAGCCTCTGAACTGTCTTGTAGAGGAGGCTGAAGTGCTGCGGGTGGGGTGGGGTGAGGATGCGGCAGGACCGAGCCCACCAGAGCGCGGGCGGCGACACCCGCGTCTAGGCCGGGGCCGGGGCCGGGGCCGGGGCCGCTGCTCACCTGCACGGCCGTGTAGGCCACCCCGAGGTAGGCGCCGATGCACACAGCCAGGAGCAGGTCGAAGATGGCCGGTTTGACCCTGGGGGAAGACGAGGACGGCCTGGTCAGCCGGCAGGGCCCGGGTGCCGCCTCGCCAGCCCCTGGACACCCGTGGGCCAGTGTCCCCTGTGCTGGAGCCGGGGTGAGGGGCTCGCTCACCTGTACGCGTTCATCACCTGCTTCAGCTGGTCATAGAAGACGAACTCCGGGTCCCTGGGGAGAGAGCACGTCCTCAGGGACTCGCCTGAGCCCGGGGACATCCCCACAGCCCCTTCTCAGACACCGTGATGAATGGGCCAGCAGCCCCTGGGCCACCTGGAGCTCCTGCCAGCCCCGCTGCCAACTGTCCCTGGTGGGTAAGGACCACGCTTACTCCTAGGTCGCACCCTCCCCACTCCTTTTCTGGGTGTTAAAATGTACTCCTTAACAATAAAATAGGCTGGCTGCAGGAATTTCACGGGTCTGGGAAGCGTGTCCACAGAGGAATGGTGACCATGGCCTGGGAATGAGAGACTGTTGCTCCACAGATGTGGTCCACTCTGAGCCTCAGTTTCTTCTTCTGTGTCTCCCGGGAGAGCTGTGCATAGCCACAGCAGGTGGGGAGCCTGCAATGGCACTGGCCACCTCAGCCACGTCTCCTACCAAGAGACCTTAAGGTGTGGGCTCGGCCCAACTGGGGAGGAGCTCGGGGGCCTCCGAGACAAAAAAGGCAAAACCCAGGGGGCCGTACTGGGCCACATTCAGGGGACTCTGGGATCAGAGTCACCCAAAGGCCCAGAGTGTGAAAGAATCAGAGCATATGGGCTCTGGGGCCGCCACGTACCACACGGAGCACCCGCTGTGTGCGCAGCGGGAGGCCACACACCCGAGGAGGAGCGTGTCGAGCACGGCCCGGATGCGCTATCCGCTCCCCTCCCTTCCCCCGAGACCCGAGTCTAACCGGGCACCCTGTGCTTTCTACTCACAGTTCTGTTTTTCATCTTTTTTAAAAATTTTACTTATTTTCCTTATGTATTTATTTTTTTTAGAGACAGAGGGTCACTCTGTCGCCCAGGCTGGAGTGCAGTGGCATCATCACAGCTCACTGCAGCCTCCAACTCCTGGGCTCCAGCAATCCTCCTGCCTCGGCCTCCCAAGTAGCTGGGGTTACCGGCATCACCACTGCGCCCGCCTTTCATCCTGTATTTTCATTTGCTCTGTCTGGCACCCTCTGGGGTGGGGGGACGAGCAGAAGATTCTAGAAGTCGGGGTCCCAGTGGAGGTGATGTCCCCTGGCCTAGGAGCTCTGTCGTGCGTGAGCCCCACACTGACGGGGGCCCCGCCTGCGCGCTCACCGCTTGTCCGCCTTCACGTGGTGCTGCCGCACGTCCTTCAGGTAGCGGCTCAGGTAGTGCTCGAGCGTGCTCAGGAACGTGCTGTCTTTGTCCACCAGCTGGGCCGCCCGGGGCTGGTTGGTCAGCCAGTCCATGACCGAGTCCAGCTGCTCCTGCTGGATCTGCTGCAGGGACGGTGGCCTCGGTCACGGGCCCGGCCCCTCCCGCCCACCCGGCCCCCCAGCCCCCTGGCCCCCTTACCATCTGCTCCGTGAACACCGGCATGTCCGGGGGGGTCCCCTGCAGAGTTAGAGAGGAGGGGACGCGGCCCTAAGTCGGGGGCGTGCGGCAGGTGGGCGGGCGCGTGGCGGCGGAGGACTCACCTTCTCTGTCAGGTTGTAGATGACGCGCGTCAGGGCCTCCGCGACGATCCTCGTGTTGCGGGTCAGGGTTTTAGAATCCACCCGGGACCTTCGAGGTTTAAGATAAAAAAAAATCTTCGAATTGGAATCATTTATAATCATCGAAAAGCAAAGAATGACCTAAATCTCCGACGGTGGTAAAAATGGGAACGGCCTTCCTGGGCGGGGGTGGGCACCTCTCCACACCCTGGACTCCTCTTTAAAAGGGGGTCCCTGCCGCCCCTCCTCACAGGGATGTCCTGGCCCCGGCCAGGCCAGCTGTCGAGCTCTCGGAAGCCACCCTAGCGTGAGCCGTGCGCTCCCGCCCTGGCCTTCCCACGTGACCGCGCCACCCAGGCCTCAGCTTCCCATCTGGAAATGGGGGTGACCAGCACCCGCCTCGCAGGGCTGCCAGGGGCAAACTCATTGTGACACCTCTGTAGTGGGGTGAATGGCGTCCCCCCAGATTCACGTTAACCCAGAATCTCGCAACGGGGGCTTCTCTGGAAATACGGTGTTTTCAGACATAATTAACTGAAACGAGATCGTGCAGGAGTCGGGGCCGAGCCAATGGCTGGCGTCCTCCCAAGAGGGAAACTCAGACACGGAGATGTGGCGAAGAGGCCACGTGGAGACGGAGGCAGAGGCTGGAGTGATGTGGCCACAAGCCCACGACGCCTGGGCCCCCCCCGGGGGGCTGGAGGAGGGAGGAAGGAGCCTGCCGCGGAGCCACCGGAGGGAGCCAGCCCAGCCTGAACCTGACCCCAGACTTCCAGCCTCCAGAACCACAGGGAGAGATTCCTGCCATTCCCAGCTCTCCAGGCTGTGGGGCTCTGTTCTGGAAGCCCCAGGACATTCACGCCCGTCCACAGGACTGAGTACGTCCCTCAGCCGAGGGCCCCAGCTGGTCACAAGCGGCACCTCCCTAGGCCTCCCGCAGGCCGGACGACACCATCCCTGCCCCGATGGGGCTTGCCTGGCACCCACGCATGGCGCGGGCACAGCAGGAGGACGGCAAGAGCTGCCTGCTCCTAGTCCAACAGGTGACGTATCCTGGGGGCCCCACGTGGGGGCTGTGACCCAGGCCACACGCCTGGTCTTCCTGTCCCCAGCAAGGGTTGAGAACTGCCCCGCCCTGCTTCCTGCGGCAGCCACGCACGGGCCCCTCCCCTGCTGCCCGCGGGGGTCTGTTCCCTTCCCTGTGGCCCCCCGGAGTCGTGACCTACTGCCCCCATCCGAACCCCGGGAGGACAGTTTCGGAAGGCGACGCGCCGGGCTCACCGCACATCCATGATGCTGCTGCGCTGGCCGTCGCGGTGGCTCTGCAGGTGGGACAGGGTGAAGGCGGGCAGCCGGCGGATGGCGAAACGCTCGTGCTCCCAGGCCAGCACGTCCTCCGCCAGGTTGATCTTCTTGTGCACCATGGAGAAGCGCACCTCGGGGAACTGGTGCGCGGCCACCTGCGGGCCCGGCGCGTCAGGGGCGGGTCCCGGCCGAGCTCCCCAAGTCCCCGCAGCGCCGCCCCGCCCGGGGCCACTGCCCACATGCTCCCAATGGCGCCCCCAGCGCCTCCCAGAGCGCCCCAGGCACCCACCGTCTCGAGCTCCCGCAGGAAGGCGTGCTGCAGGGTGCCCTCGCGCGGCGGCTTGGACACGTGCAGGTGCAGGCTGTTCCCGCGGCCCACGGTGTCCAGGCACAGGACGAAGGCCACGTTGTCCTGGAGCAGGCTGGAGTCTGCGGGGAGCCAGACACCGAGCGCTGGGGAGGGGCCGGGGACCGGGGAGACCCCAGGGAGGCCCCGCCCCTCTGCGCCACCAGACCCCCACGCCCCAACCTGGGGTGACCTCGCACCTGTGTGGTCCAGGTTGTCTTCCAGCCAGCGCTTGGTCCCCTGGTAGTTGAACTTGCCCCCTCCAGACGCAAAGAACAGGAGGTTGTACCTGGCGGGGGGAGGACCGCGTTGGCTGTGACAGGCGAGCGCCCTGGGTGGGGATGGGCCAGGTCATGGGCCCAAGGAGGGGCTGGGAGAAGGTCTCCCCGAAAGTATGAGATCATGACCACCCCCTAGGGTGGGGTCTCTCCCCCGGGCACTGCAGGTGCTGAGCAGGGTCCCTGTCTCCACCCACCCCATGCCAGGAGCACCCCTAGAAAGGACAAACAAAAGTGCCTCCAGACATCACTCAGCATCCCCTGGGGGCAGAATCAGCCCTGGGTGAACCAGGCGTGAACACAGACGGACACCCGCCCCTCAGAGACAGGGCAGCGCAGGCCTCGGGTCAGCACTGAGAGGTCAGGGCCACCCCGGCTGGGATTTTTCTTGGCATCCTCCTCACAGTCACCAAGTGACTGCCCAGCACCGGTAGTCACGTCCAAGTTCAGGCAGGATGAAGGTGGGGCAGGGGAGCAAGTCCCTTTTTAAGAACTGGTAAAACAGGTGCTTTCTCATCCGCAGTCACCAGGGACTGGAGTCCTGCCAGCCCGGGCAGGGGGATGCTACATTAATTATTTAGAACCGAGCCGAGTCTGCTGCCTGTTCACAGCGGACCCCAAGTAAATCCCTAGTGGGGCAGACGGCACAGACCAGGGGACCCCCAGCCCCTGGGACCCCCCCTCCCCATGCAGGTGTGGATGCGAACGAGTGCAGCCTCCTAGGACCTCAGCAGGGCGGGGGATCGTGGGACACAGAGTCTCTTGGGGGTCAGTGGAATCCCTGAATCCTGGGGGTCTCGCCCAGGGGGGATTCTGCCCCCAGGAGACACTTTGCTGTCTGGATGGATGGGTGCTCCCGGGCGGGGCAGGGACGCTGCTCAGCACCCGCAGTGCCCAGGACGCGCCACCCCAGAGAAAGACCGGCCCCAGCGTCCGCAGTGCCCGGGGGAGACCCTGTCTCTGTTCTCGCGGCGGAAAACCCTCCCGGCGGGGTCCCGGGGGTGGAGCCAGGAGGGCACGGCTGCTGCCCGGCATTCGGGAGCCCTGGAGACACCAGACGCCCACCCCGGGAGAGACCCCCGTCTGCCAGCACTCACGCCGCGTGGGTGCGCTTGTAGGTGTAGAGCCTGGAGAAGAGGCGCGCCAGCTCCAGCAGCACAGAGATGCCGCTCCCGTTGGAGTCCGCGCCCAGCGACAGCCACTGCGGGCGGAGAGGCCACGGTCACGCCAGCCGCCCCCCACTCTGCTCAGAACCGGTGCCCGCCCTGCCGACCTCCGAGTCTGGAATCCCAGCACGTGCCAGGCGGCGAGGGTGGGGGCGGGTGCGTGACCAGCCCCCATGGAGACCCGGGTGCTGGGTGCTTGCCAGCTTCCCTGGGGACGACACCCCCCAGCTGTCGGCACATTCGCTGCTGGGGGGGGGGGAGCGTGTCCTGGGTGACTCGGCCAGGGGGGTGTTCTGGAAGCCGGGCCTGGCCTCCCCACCTCTCCCACACACCTTTTCCCTTTGCTGACTTTGCCAAGTCCGCTGCTGTCATGAAACCACGGCCAGTGCTGAGCCCAGGGGGTCCTGGGGACCCCAACACAGACACCCTGGGCTCAATTCCTGGCCCAGCCACCTACGTGCCCTGGGACACTGGCCGAGAGACCGGCCCAGCTCAGAGACACAGTGACACCGCTGCGGGGTCCTCCCGGGGCTCGAATGCACGTGCGCACCAGGGTGGGCGAGCCGCTCGGACCCCGGCCGCCGTCCCGACGGACACGCTGCCCCCGCACCGGCTGAGCCCAGTCCCCGCGGGGTGGGGGCGGGGGGCGCATGTACATACCGGGGCCACTCCGAAGGCGTCGTAGTGGGCGACGATGACGATGGTGGGAAGGTCCTCTCCGCCCAGCCCCGTCAGCCGCCCCTGCGGAGAGCCAGCCTGTGAGTGGCCTGGGCAGCCCCCGGGGCAGGAGGTGACCACAGCGTGGGGCTGAAAGACCCTTCTGCCTGGGCCACGTGGGGTCTGTTCTACCCTAGTTCTGGCACCTTCCTCAGCACCAATGCCCACAGAGGCGCCGATCCGGGGAGTGCGGCAGAGCCCCGAGAGGGGACCCCACCCCTGCGCCGGCCCACGAGGCTGATGACTAACAGAATGGCGCTATTACGGGAAGGGATCCGGGTCGGTGGCGGCGCACGACCTCAGGTGTGTGCCAGGCCCTGGGGTGCAGAGACGACTCCCCGTCTGCGGGGTGGCCGAGTGGCCTGGCACCATCCGGTGTGAGCCCGAGGATGGGAGCCCACAGGAGCCCAGGGACACCCACAGGCAGCGCCTGTCCCAAGCAGAGGGTGGGACGGACCAGCGTGCTCGGCTGCAAGGGCCGAGGGCCTACTGTGTGCCGGGCACCGGGCTGGGCCCCGAGGACACGGCAGAGGCCAGGACGAGCGTGTGCTCAGCGCCCCGGGCACTCAGGCTGGCGGGGGGCAAACCACGGGCACACGAGTTCTGAACGTTTCCTCCGGGGATGATGACTATGAGGACGCTGAAGCCAGGTGAGGACAGTGGCTCTGCTTGAAGACCTGTGTGCGATTTCTCAGGCCCGACCCCAGGCAGCTACAAAGGCGGCACCTGGCAGGCCCCGGGGGAGCTGCCTGCCCGCGCCGGATCCCAGTGGAACCCGCTGCAGCCTCCAGGGCAGCCGGGGTCAAGGCCTCAGCCCTGCCTAGTGGGGCACCTTCGTCCTCCACCTCTTTATCTGAGGCCGGGGTCGCCTTCTGGCGCCTCTGCCAAGGCCTTCTCCGATGGGACGAGGGGCCCTGAAGACACGTCCCCACCCTGACGCTTCCACCTACCCGGGGTTGCATTCCACTGAGCCCTGGGACCACGCAACTGCAGGAGCCTTCTGCCCCTCCACAGGGGGACGACCCCCCATCAGAGCCCCGACAGGCGGGAGCCCGACAGGCGAGCCGCTCCCTGGGGAGTCAGCTCTGGGAGCCGCTCTCCGGACAGCGAGCCCAGCAGGCTCAACCCCCCACCTGCGCCTTGTGGCCTCAACTGGCTACTCGCACACCCAGCTGCCCGGGGCGCTCGCTCCCAGCCTGGCTGAGCTCCTGACAACGGGGGACATCGGGGGACAGTGGGGGGCGGCCACCGTGAGGAGCCTGGGCAGGTTTCCAGCAAGGCGGGCACTGAGCCGGTGCCCTCGCAGAGGTTCCGTCTGGCGGGACTGGCGGTGCACGGCCAGGTGCCCAGGCCAGAGGCTGGGCTGGGGGCGGCAGGGAGCGCTCACCTCCACGCTGGTGATCAGCCAGTCGCTCACGGCCTTGCTCTGGACCCCACTGGTGACCATCTGGAAGCCGTTGGCAGTGGCCGTGTGCAGCAGCACTGGGGAAGAGGGTGGGGTGAGCCGAGCCAGATGCCAGAGCCGGATCCCCGTCCCCAGCACCCAGGACGCGGGGGCCGGGCAGGGCAAGCCGGTAGGTGCGGGGGCTGGGCCACACGAGCGTGGTGCCACGCGACGCCCGTGGGTGTCCCAGGACAGGCTGCTCCTGACATTAACCACACATCCACCCCGGAACGTTCCGCTGTGACGTTTCTCCTTTTACTCTTGGGCACTAAACAGGAGCCCCCCACTTTTCGCGTAGGGCAGAGGGCGCCCTGAAACACCAGAGTCCAGCCTCGTTCCACCTGCGCCTCTATTCCTCAAGCATTAAAAATGCAGTCGCCCACCACGGACACAGAAGACACGATCGCCGGGGGAAGCCTGTCCCCCAGGAACTCTCTTAGTATGTGTTTTGTGGACCTTAACTTATTTCAAAACAAAAAACGCATTTTTAAAAGGCAACGGTGACCAATAACGTGTGAGTTTATAGCTCGTTATTTCCTCTAACCAACGTAAAATGAGCAACTTCCCCCACCACTGGACCCTCCCTCGACACCATTTCCAAGGCTGTGTGACACTCCACCTTCCTGCTCCTCTAACCAAGTGTCTGGGTATTTCCAAGAATTCACTCTTCTACTGACACGCAAAATGCCACCATCAAGACTTTGAGACCAGGGGTTGGCAGCTTTTTCTGGAAAGGGCTGGAGAGTTAATACATCCAGTTTTGCGGGACAGATGGTCTGTCGCGGGCTCGGGGACTTAACTTTGCTGCTGTGGCGGGAAAACCCCCACAGACCATGCACAAATGAATGGGCACGGCCCTGTGCCAATAAAACTTTATTTATAAAAACAGGCGGCTCCTGGCCCGAAGTTCCTGATCTAGAGGGTGCCGATAATTTGGCCGTCAAGAAGGAACCTTTTCTTACAGCTCCCACGCACACTGCCAAACCGCCTCCCCGAGGAGCCGCGCGGGTTTATCTGTGGGACAAACCCCGCCTGCCCCGGCCCGTCCTCGCTGACCGCGGGTATCTGCTTCCCGCTCACACCTGCCGTTTCCATAGGTGGACACGGCCGCGGGCAGGGCCCTCTGCTCCCTCTAAACAGCGCCCCCCGCCCACCTCCCCGTCGCCAGGTCACACTGCAGAGCTCCCCGCCAGGTCCCCTGGTCACTGGGTGCAGAGAAATGTGTTTGTCCCTCTTCCCTGAGAACGATGCTGGTTCGCTGACATTCTGAAGCGAGGTGACACTGAGGATTTACTCGGCTGGCAGAGAACCGACCACCTGCCCCCGTTTCCCATGAGCCGTGAGCAGCTGGGGTGGGAAATGCCTCCCTCTACGTGAGTGGCCCCAAACTGTCGTGCGCTGGAAACAGCAGCCGGGTGGGGGACAGAGAGCTGCAAAGTACAGGGTCCTGGGTCCCAGCCCCAGGTGGTGGCGCAGCAAGTCCACGGCCAGGCCCAGTAGTCTCCACCGTCAACCACAGGCAACAGGATGCCACACGCTGGCTCTGCGTGTGGAGACGGCACAGGGTGACCGCAGCCCCGGGACAGGGAAGCCCCCCATGCCCTCGGCCCCCTCCCTGCGGCCCAGAGCCCACCTTCAGCGGCAGAGGCGGAGCCCTGGGAGGCAGAGGCGGCCTGGGTTTGCTCGTAGATGGAGAGCAGGGCCTCGTCCTCCACGGCAAAGTACACGGGGACGACGGTCTCCATGGCCAGCATCTCGGGCTCGATCTCCATGAATTGCTGCGGGGGAGACACGCGTTTAGGGGGCTGCTCGCCTGGGTGGGGGAGGCAGACTGGCGGGGCCAGCGGCTGGCCCTGGAGGGAAGGCAGGCGGCGGCGTGCGCTGCTCCCTCCCCGCCCTTCTCACCTGCAGAAGCACCTCAACCTGGGATCCGCCCAGATCCTGTTCCTTCCCGGCAGGGTCTGGTCTCCCTGGGCGCTGCAGGTGCTGAGCAGCGTCCCTGCCCCCACCCACCCACCCACGCCGGGAGCTCCCCCTCCTCAAATGCCTCCAGACGGTGCCCAGGGTCCTCTGGAGACAAAACCACCCTGGGGCAGGACCGTCGATGAAGGGGAACAACATCCCGCTTTCCAAAGGGCCCAGAGAGGTGAAGCCACCCGCCCAGGGTCACACAGCTGACTCCAAACCCAACCCGGAGCACGTGGGCGGGGAGGGCCGGGTGCTCACCCGGACGACGTCCTGGGGCACGGCCGCCACGGCCCGCGGCAGGATGATGACCACAGCACCCGCTGACTGCCGCAGCGCCTTCTGGTACTGCTCATAGGAGAAGTCCAGCAGCCGCATGAGGACGCAGCGGCGGCTCAGCACGTCCGCGTCCATCGTGCGCGCCTCCGTGTTCAGCACTGCGTTCCGCGTGCCTGTGGGAGGGGGGGGTTTGTCTCTCAGCAGGCGCCAGGCCAGGACCTGCCCGGCCCCTGCCGCGCCCGACCATCTTAGAAACCTGCACACGGAGCGGGGGTCCCAGCCGAGCTGCCCCCAGCCCCACCCGCCATGAGAGGCCTTGGAAGGCCCCGAGGGCACAGGGCTCCGCAAAAGGGGCCGCCAGCCCTCAGCTGGGACGCAGGCCGCTGCCCGGAAAGCTGGGAACCCCGACTGCCACGTCGAATCGCCCAAACGTTCACAGCAAGCAACGGGTCCACAGCACCTCACACGCCGCGCAGACCAACCTGACGCTGCGAAAAACCAGCGAGCAAACCCTGGCGCGCGGCCCTGGGGCCTCCGGGGTGAGCCCCATGCAGGACACGCTCAAAAGTGACAATGCAGACGTGGCCCTGGGTCCCCGTGGGAACCACCTGCCCTGTCCCAAAGGTGGAGGAGCCACCAGCGCAGGTGACATTCTCGGGGACGTCTGCCATGCCCTGTCTCTGCTTTCCAGGAACGCGCTGCCCAGGAAGGTGGCAGACAGGACAGGGCAGCTCCAAAGGACCATCTGACGGGCTGCAGTGGTGGTTGGGGAAGGGACACCTGTCCCGGGTGGGGACGCAGAGTGGGGGCCTGTTCCCCTTCCCGTCTGACCTCACTTGCCCGCAGGGGTCTGCCAGGGAGACGGCAGCAGAGACCTTGAGGAAGTCCTTGGGGCTCGGAATGCCGGGAACGCCCCTCCCCTGCACCCCACCTGTCCCTTTGGCCTCCCAGGGGCGGTTCAAACGTCACTTCCTCGGCGGATAGGGAGGTGCGGACCACCCACAGGCACCTACTGTGCGCTGGGCCAGAGGCTGGGTGTCCGCTCGCTGGAGTTCAGGACTGGCTCTCAGGCGGGAGCGGGCGAGGCCACCCTGGGAAGCAGCAGGCGGACACAGGTCCCCCAGGACGCCCTCTAGGATGGAGCCCAGCCCCTCCCAGCCCCCCGTCACGCTGCCCCCATGCCCTGGCTCACTCGCCCGGGGCCCAGGCGCAGGGGCTTTCGGTGGCACGACCACCTCTGGCGGCTCCACCCTCCCCCGAGAGCGAGGGCCAGGACTGGGGTGGGTGTCCGCGAGCCAGTGTGGACACGGCCCTCGGCCCTGCGTCTGGGAGGCTGCACCTGGCGGGCACCACAGGGGCGGGAGCTGGGTATCTGGGCAGGAGGCGCTGGCCTTCGGCAGGACCAGGCCCGAACGGAGGTTGGCAAACTTTTCCATCACCTTGCCGGCCGCACGGGCTCTGTCGCGATCACGCAGCTCTGCTGTCTCAGCGTGAGAGCAGCCAGAGACGACAGCAACACAGTGTGACCGTGTGCCGATAAAACTTTATTTACAACAGGCGGACGGCTGTCAGATTAAGGAGCTCTGGAGAGCCTTCCTGGCTTTCGTCTTGGGAGCCCGGCCCTTGGGGTTGCTCAGGTCCTCACCCCATGGGGTCCCTGGGATGCAACACAAGTGAGGCACTAAACACGGCAGGAAAGGCAGGGAGTGTAACAAGCTCCCCCTGCGAGAACACACTTCCCTGAGGAGGGCCAGAGTCCACCTGCTGGGAGGGGCCGGGCTCCCCGAGGCCCCGCACCCGCCGGAACACAGCCACCTCTCAGGCCCTGTGTGTCTCAACAGGAGCAAAGGGGAAGTTGGGAAAGGTGTCCCCAGCCAGGACGGTTGCGGCACCCTGGGGAGAGGGTGCTGGAGATAGCGGGAGATTGCACGAGAGTGACTTAGCAGGCCGGCCCTCAAAGCCAGCAGCCTGGGCTTTCCCAAGCACCCGTCCTCTGCAGGGCGCCCACCCATGCTGCCCGGGTCTTTCAGCTGCGGCCAGAGAACAGGGAACAGGGCCGTGGCGTGGAGACGCATGCCCAGCTGGGCAGCCACTCGCCTCTGAGAGCTGGACCGCCGCCTCGCGGCGGCAGAGGAAAAACACTGAGTTCCCCTCTGCTCACCCTGGAGCCCACTGTCCTTCCAGACCGCAGAGGGAAGGCCAGACACAGGGACACACTGGTCCCCGTGCAGGGGAAGGTGGCTCTGGGTTTCTCAGTGGGAGCGACGCAGGCTGGGGGCCTGGAAGGAGGGCGGAAGGGACCCCAGGATCAGGGCAGAGGACTCAGAAGGGAGGGAAGAGAAAAGGGCCGGAGGTGACAGGGTTGAACGCACAGAGGCTGGGAGGGAAGAAACAAGTCCCACGAGGAAACCGAGGCAGCTCTGAAAATCAGCAAGGCTGTTTGCTCAACACGGTCGGCCAGCATTTCCCAGGGGGTTGTGGGAGAGAGAAGGGATCCGTCCCAGCTGCCAGGCAGGAGCCCGGAGTGTCGCCCAGGGGGACTGGAACCAACAGGACTCAGATGGATCTGGAGAAACGGGTTTTTTTCAAATCCCAGGAGCTGGGCCTTCTAGGCTGCAGGCTCCTCTGGAAAACCCACGAAAGCCCGAGAATTGAGCTGCCTGCTACGTGGCTGTCTGGGATTATCACCACTAAACGGCACTAGGAATTATGTTCCTCAGTGGCACAGGCCACGTCCCACAGGCTCAGGAGCCCCCTGTGGCGGGCGGCTCCCGTGTCGGAGTGCGAAGATAGAAAACATGTCTGCGAGGCAAAGGGTGCCGCGGGCCGGTGCTGGTGGAGACCCTTCCGCCAGGAAAACACCAAATGGCATTAGGGGCTGCTGATCCCCCACTCCCGCCCTCCAGACCCAGGAGCCCCGGGGTTAGACGACTACTCTGACCCAAGGTCTCTACCTCCACCCCAGCACTGAGGACACTGGGGCCGGAATGTTCTCTGGGGAGGGGCATCCGGGGCACGGCAGGTGCTGAGCAGTGTCCCTGCCCCCATCCACCCTGTGCCAGGAGCTCCCCCAGTCAAGACAACCATAAACGTCCCCAGACATCACCCGATGTGATGCCCCCTGGGTCGACAACCTCTGCTTTAAATAAAAACAATGTAACTTTGGGGTGAAATGGGATTGGAGGGGAAGTCTGGGTATATTTCCAGAGACCGGCTCCCCAGGGGCCTGGCAGAGGCTGGGGGTCCCAGGGACTCAGGCTGAGCCTGAGCTGTTTCAAGAGGGGCTAGTCCAAGAGAACTGGGACTCAGAACTGAGGGGACCCGGGGGATGTCTGGAGAGGGGCTCCTTCATGGGGAGGTCAGGCTTGACCTTCAGGGACCTGAGGGGCCGGGCTGGAAGAAAAACCCAGAACAAGAAGGTTCTGGAACACCAGGTGCAGCTATAGTCGGGAGGAGACAAGGGTATCTACTATAGAATGATATGTGCTTGGGGGTGATGAGTTGGAGGGGGTGGGGATGCATCCAAGGAGGGGCAAGAGGGGGCCCCCCGAGAAGTCCCAAGGCCAGCGGATGGAACTGGGCAGGTGGGAGGCGACTACAGGGTTCTTAAAAAGTGGCTCACACGCTGGCACTTCCCAAAGCCTGGGAAGAGATGGAGCGCTGACTGGGGGCAGTGGTCAGAGAGAGCGAGGTCGGAGGAGAGCAGGGTGTGGGCATCGGACTCAGAGCGCGGGGTACCCGGGGTCGGCGGGACGGGGTGGGGCTGGCCGGACCCCTGCGTCGGTGGCTCGGCCTGGCAGACACCCGCGCAGGGACGTTTAACTCCAAACGCCGTGAAGCCAAAGGCTGGAGCTCTGGGCACGGGGCGGGGTCCTGGGCGCTGGAGGTCAGGGGAGGGCAGTCGGGGCAAGTGGGCATCGGCCGGAGCCGACCAAGTGCCCAGGGGGCCCAGGAAGGAGACACGAGGCGAGGCGGCGCGACTTTGGCCCGGCTGGGAATAGCAGAGCGGGGGCCCACGGGTCCCGGAGCAGGGGGCGCTTGGGTTCCGGGCCATGGGCCGCGGCTGCGGAGGCGAGCGCGGGGGACCCGTCGGGCCCCGGGCAGGGAGAGCCGGAGTGCAGGACACCCGAGCGAGGGCCGGGGCGGGGAGCGGCGGGTCGGGGGGCCCGGGGCGGGTCGGGGGGTCGGGAAGCCCGGGGGATCGGGAGCCCGGGCCGCGGCGGCGCACGCACCGTAGGGCTGGCCCTGCAGGTCGTACTGCTGCATGCGGTACACCGTGAACTCGTGCGCCGCGTCGGCCGCGGGCAGCGGCGGCGCCACCAGCAGCAGCACGGCGGGCAAGAAGACGATGAAGCCGAGCGGCAGGCACGACGCCTTGAGCATGTTCTCCAGCACCTCGCCCGCTTCCTCCAGCATCCTGGCCGGCGGCGGGGCCGCGCGGAGCGGCGGCGAGGACGGGACGGCAGCGGCGGCGGCTCCCGCGGACTCACCTCGGCATGGGTAGCCGCCGGGGTCCTTCGGGCGCCGCGCCGGGCATCCCGGGCCCGCCGCGGGGTCCTGCGGGCACCACCACGGACAGCCCCCTCCGGGCGCGCTACCTCATGGGAGTTGCAGTCCGCTCGGCGCACGCGCGCGGAGCCCCCTGGGGTTTGTAGGCCCACTCTAGGCCCGCCCGCGAAGGGCCGTCTGGCTAACACTGCAGAAGTTTCACATAAACTCCAAGTCACAAAACACAGACTTTAAGAAACCATTTTGCGGTAGAATTTTCTCAAATTGCGTCTTTGATGTGTGTTGCGTGGGGGGAAGGGGACGAAAGGCGGGGAGCAGGACGTGACCTTGCGACCTGGAAGGAAGTTGGAGCTAAAGGAAAGAGGAAGTGGCCTCTGGCGCGCTAGGTCTCCTGGGAATTGTAGTCCTCTTCGAACAAACACAAAGGATCATGGGAGCTGTAGCCTGCCTGACAGAAGTTTCAGAGGACAAGACTAAAAAATCACTTAAAACTCCCAAGGATGCAGATGTTAAGCAACACGAGGGCGAAGACTTCTGCCTGCTGTGTGCATTGATGTATCCCCGACACTGAGCACGAGCCCTGGCACACTGTGGGTGGTCTATGCAATTTTGGGATGAATGAATGAAAAATGAATAAAAAGTCCTGCTAGGCTGTGACACGGTGCGTTATGGGACTTGTAGTCGCAGGCTGGGCTCCACACAGCGGTGGGTGGCATCCTTGGTTATATTTATCCTTGTTCACATTTGGGGCATACGCACGCTAAAAAAAGTATTCGATGTTCCTCGGAAATTGGAATTTAATTTGTGGGCGTTCCATATTGGTATTTCCCACGTGGCAACTCTCAGGGCCCCGGTGTCAGGGCCAAGGTACACCAGGAGCATCAGCAGCTCACAGCCCCTCACACAGACGGGGAGACAACGGCCCTGGCCCCTGGGGAATGAACATCCCCGGCTCCAGACAGTTGTTTGAGGACTCAGGGCCTCCCTCCTGTCCCGAGTGAGCGCTGGCATTTGTGCCGATTAAGAGAATGGGCTCGAGTCCTCCATTTCCCAGCTGTGTGACTTAGGGAAAGTCATTTCACCTCTCTGGGCCTCCGTTTCCTCAGCTGTCAACTGTGAAAATACGTAATGAAACACTCTGCCCCACCAGCTGTGTGTAAGGATTCGTTACATCAATCCACACCAACGGATTCAGAGTGAGGCACACAGTAAGTGCTCAGTAAGTGTTGACAGTATGAGAATGCACCAAGCTCACACAGCCTCAGGGCCTTTGCATTTGCTGTTCCTGCTGGAACGTGCTTCCGGCAACTCTCTCCATGGCTGAGTATTCCAAGGAGGGAAGGAACTGACATTCATTCATTTGTTCATTCATTCATTCATCAAAAAGGAAGTATCAGGGAACAAGAAGCTACACGTCTAAGCCGGGTGCAGTGGTGCACTCCTGTACTTGGGAGGCTGAGGAAGGAGGGTCGCTAGAGCCCAGAGGTTTGAGACCAGCCTGGGGAACACAGGGAAACCCCGACTCAGAAAAAAAAGAAAGAAAAGAAAAGCTACCTGCGTGGGTTTGAATCCCAGCTCTGCCACTTCCCAGCTGTGTGACCTTGGGTAAGTTACCCAATCTCTCTGGGTCTCAGTGTTCCCATCTGTAAAATGGAATTAATGGTGGTATCTGTCTCCTAGCGTTTCTGTGAGGATTAAATGGGTTAATGCAAAAGGGATTAGAACAGCACCTAGCACTGAGTGAGATAAAAGGCTTTGCAGTTACTGTTCATTTAAAAACACACGCACGATAGTTCAAGGGTGTCTACATTCCTCACCTTATCGAATCCTTGCAACATCCGGGAGAACAGGAGCTGTCGATATCCTCATGCTGCAGATGAGAGAGCTGGGGCACATGGGAGCTGGGGAGCTCTAGTGGGTTACAGACACCAGGGAAGGTGGTGTCGCCATTAACCCCTGGGCTATCCAATAAGTCGCAGTCAGGATTCCTGGAGACCGTTTCGCCACTGCCAGGGAGGAGAGCTGGGGTGGAGAAGGAGGAGTGGAAAGAGGTTTCTGAAGCCTCAAATGCTGCTGTGTCCAGTTCCCCCAGAGCTCTGGGTCACTGTGCTGGGCCCTGTGCTGGGGACACAGCCGCGACCCAGACAAAGCCACGATATCCACCATCACAGAGCTCCAAGTCCAGAGGAGGAGATGGATGCGTGACCAGATGTGATTGGAGCTGGGATGAAGGAGGCACAGGCAACTGTGGGAGCCCAGAAGCGGCCTTGGGAGAAGAGGCAATCAGGGGAGACTTCTGGAGGAGGTGGCACCCTAGCTGAGACCCAAAGGATGAGCAGGCAGCAGTCGAGTGAAGAATGAGGGAAAACCACACTCAGGAGAGGCAGAACTGTAAGAGGCAAGAGGCGGACACAAAGGCAGCTGTGGGACCCTGGAGGAGACCTAGGGAGGAGGAGAAACCAGGGAAGACTTCATGGAAGAGGTGACACCAAAGCTAAAGCACAGAGAATGAAGAGGCAGCCGTCAAGTGGAGAACAAGGGAAGGCGTGCACCAACCAGGCCACGCAGGTGGGGGCAACAAAGGCAAGTGTGAAGACCCCCAGATGGAAGGGAGTTGTAAATGGTTCAGCTGAGCCAAAGCAAACCACATGATGACGCCCCCCAGGGCAGAGGGAGCGAGGGGCTTGGCTCGTACCGGCCCAGAAGGCAGGCGGAGAGCTTTGGGCTGGCGCGGCCTCCACTCACCCGAAATGCCACCGAGACCCCACCCTGCCTGCTGCCGTCGCAGATACACACACACAACAGGCATCGGGAAGACGTAAGAACCGTCCAGTTCTCGCGCACACGGACAAGCGCTGGGGACTTGAGCCAGTCCCGGCCAAGAGAACCGTCTGCGATGATGGAAACGGTGGCATCTATGTCGTCGTCCAAAGCAGGAGCTGGGAGCCACTGCCGACTCCGTGAAATGTGGCTCTTGTAACTGAGAGTTAGGGGTGACCTGTGTCCCCCCTCAAACCCATATATTCACGTCCTCACCCCCAGGACCTCAGATTGGGACGGTTATTTGGAAATAGGGTCTCTGTAAATGGAAACAGTTAAGATGACATCATCGTACTGGAGTAGGGGGGCCCTGATCCCACGACTGGGTTTGTACAAAAGTGGGGGGGATGTGGACACAGACACGCACAGGGAGAACACCACCTGAGGACGGGGCGGAGATCGGGGTGACGCTTCTACACACCAAGGAACACCAGGGATGAATAAACCCTGTTGTCCAAGCCACCGAGCCCGTGGGACTTTGTCCCGGCACCCTAGCAAACCAAAACACAGACAAACTGAATTTTAAAATTTCATTTAATGTTCATGAATTTTAAACAGCCACACGTGGCTAGTGGCTAAGATATCGGACAGTGCGATAAATACTTGCCACTCACCGCACCTCTCTCCATCGTGTGGTGGAGAAATAGTGGCTTCAAGCAGGGATGTCCCATGCCCAGGTGGCAGATGGGGTGGATCCCAGGCCCCTGTGCCCCAGGCACGTGGCAGGACAGAGGCAGGGGATGGGGGGCTGGCGTGGCCCCTGGAGGAGGGAAAGGTCTTCCTACCAGCACCAGCACCGACACTGAGCCGTGGGCTGTTTAAATGTAAACAAATTCATATTAAATAGAACCTACAATACCCTATAGTACCCCTGTGGGGCTGGCATCTCCCGTGCTACGTGGTGCAGGTGTAGAACGTTTCCACCATCTCCAGACGTTCTGTCGGACACCCTGGGTGTCAGGTGCCGTGGCCGGCGCTGAGCGTGTCACGACAAACTTGTGCGTAGGAGCAGGATTAGCCCATTTCACAGATGCGGAAGGGCAAGGCAGTGAGTGCGGTAGGGAAGGTGCGGGACACGCCCCTAGGCCAGAAGGGCGAGGTCACCGCGCCTCTGCTGCTCCCCAGACTGGGTCTGACAGATGCAGAGGTCGGAGCCGGGGCAGGGGCCCTGACTTCCCAAAGGGGAAGTGAGGGAGAGGAGGCTGGTGACAGCTGTCATCGGCCGCCCCACCCCCTTCCAATGCCCAGACACGCTCGCCCACCGCCCACACACACACTCCAGGCTCACGGCCACGGCCCTGGCGCACAGACACACCTACACTTGCACGCTGCCGGCCGCACCCCCGAGCCAGGCCCCCGCATACTCGGGGACAAGAGAGAGGCTGCGACTTCTCCTACCGTCACTGAACTTGCAATGTTGCCGGGGCATCCACCCCACCGCCTGCCCCACCAAGGCCCAGAGAGGGCCCGGGACTGCTCCGGAATCACACAGGAGCCCAGGTGCAGTGAACCCACCGGCCCCCACTGTGGTGGCCTCCTCCTCCATGGCGACCGCGGGAAACCTGCCTCGCGTCAGCAGGCCCAGGCAGCTGTGGCCGGGTGGGGAGGACCGCGGGGCCCGCCCCGCCCTCCGCTCCCCCTCCCTGCCCCCCAGGGGCCCCTGGGCGTCGTCAGAGGCTCCGCACGCTGGAGATGCTGGACAGGGGCTCCCGCATCCGGAAGCTGAGCGACCGGGAGCCCCGGAAGCTGTCCCGCGGCCGCAGCGAGCTGTCGGTGGTGGAGGTTCCGGAGTGCGCCTCGGTGGCCCTGGCCAGGCAGTCCCCGGGGCCCCGCAGGCCCAGCCGCAGACACCCGCAGCAGAGGAAGCTGAGCACGGCGCGACACACCTCGCGGCTGCGGAACGAGTAGATGACGGGGTTGACGGCCGAGTTGAGCACGGCCAGCGCCAGGATCCAGTCCATGCCGCGCAGGTACTCCTGCGCCCAGACGTTGGAGCCGAACACGTCGGCCAGCAGCAGGCCGAAGAGCGGCCCCCAGCACAGCAGGAAGGCGGCCAGGACGAGCAGCACCGTCTCCAGCAGCCGCCGGGCCTTGCGGCGCGCGGCGGGGCGCGGCGCCTTCCGCCCGTTGGCCTGCACGACGCGGAAGATGGCCCCGTACAGGCCGGTGATGGCGGCCAGGACGCAGGCGAAGACCAGCAGGCAGAAGAGGACGTAGCGCTTGGAGTAGAGCGGCAGCAGGCTGGAGCAGCGCTCGAAGGCGCACACGCAGTTCCAGCCCAGCAGCGGCAGCAGCCCCAGCAGCGCGGCCAGCAGCCAGCACAGGCCGATGAAGCCGTACACGCGGCCCGTCTTGGTGGCGCGGCTCTCGGCCACCGGCCGCACCATGGTGGCGAAGCGCTCGCCGGCCGTGAACAGCAGGCTGAAGGTGGAGGCGGCCAGCGCCGTGAAGAGCAGGCCCTCGCGCAGGAACCACTGGGCGGGCGCCAGGCGGAAGGTGCGGGCGCCCGACAGCAGCACGTTGGCCAGGTAGGCCGCGCCCGTGAGCAGGTCGCTGAGCGTGATGTTCACCAGGCAGTAGTAGACCCAGCGCCGCGAGCGCATGCGGCTCACGATGGCCGCCAGCACCAGCAGGTTCTCCAGCACCACCAGGCAGCTGGCGGCCACCGACAGCCCGCGCAGGGCCCCCAGGCTGCCCTCGTCGGGGCCCCCGCGGCCCGCCAGCCGGCCCGAGTGGTTGTAGTGCAGGACGATGAGCCGGCTGTGGCCGCTGGCCGCCAGCTGCTGACAGGACTCGGGGGCCGCCGGGGACCCCGTGGCGTTCATGGCCTCCCCGAGGGGCAGACTGGGGCCCCGGGCAGGGTGGAGCCGCCTGCCTTGCTCGGCCTCGGTTTCCTGTTATTTGAAATTTCCTGTTGTGCTCAAGGTACCCCCCGGGGTGGGGGCCAGGCCCAGGGCGGGGAGGGGCGTCCCAACGGCTGCTGCCACCGGCCCCCTGGGGGCGCCACCCCTGCTGCCAGGCGCCCGCCCCCGCGGATGCCCCTTCCGGGTCCTCGAAAGCCAGAGGCGGGGAGGGAGCCCCGGAGCTGTCAGTCGCTGGGGGGAAGCGCCCCCCACTTGTCCCTGCCACCCCAACGCCTGCTGAGGACGCCTCTGCCCCCAGGAGTCTCCCCCTCCAGGATGGGCCTGTTCCACCACGGGCCCCCAGCTGCTCCAAGCGTGCCTGGCACACAGTAGGTGCTCCATAAATGTTTCTCAAGTGCTCGCGCACCCTCGACAGAGCCGGGCCTGGCTTGCAAGATGCTCCTCTACAGAAGGGGAAACCGACACCTGCAGAGGCCGCGGTGCCTCACCGGGAGGGCGCTGAGGCAGAGCCTCACACGCGGGAGGACAGCCAGACCGGGCTCATGGGAGTCTCGGGCCAGGATCCCCTTCCTGGGCTCTGCTGTTGCCCCTCCTGGGAGCAGAGCTGCTGGGCCCCCAGGGCAGCCCCTCACTCTCTGGGGAGGAATGGGGGCTCGCCCCAGCACCACCACCCTGGGGACACTGGCGCAGGGTGACTCAACCTGAGATGGCTGTGGTCTGAGGGGAGGACACACACCCTGTCCTGGGGTCGGGGGCTCATGGGCCCTGAACATCACCCGTGGGTGACAGTACTGCATCCCTGCCCCCCACGCCCCAGTGCCTGGGATCCCCACCCTTCCCCACCAGAAGGCTCTGGGGTGTGAGGTGGTTTGGAAAATATTTCAGGCCCCAGAGCTGCGAGTGTGGCCCAGGAGTGTGTCTCTGATGGGCCCCTCCCCCACCACAGTCACCCCTGGGCCCCTGAGCAGCAGGGAGGGGACAGCTGGGCCCACTTGCCTTGCCCCTCCCCCACCCTGGGCCCATGTGGTCATTGGCCTTCCAGACAGTGGTGCCCGTGGTCTTGGGGAAGGAGTGACCACACCAATTCAGCCAACCAGGTGTGCTGGAAGGGTCACAGGTATGCCGTAAGGGGCACAGGTATCCCCTGAAGACACAGGTACCCCATGAGGGACACAGGTATCCCATCAGGGACACAGATACCCCATGAAGACACAGGTGTCCCACATGGCTACAGTATTCTCCCCGAGAGGCTGGGTACCCCATGCAGGGCAGGGTGGGCAGGAGTCTGGGGCTGAGGACAGCCAGCAGCCTGGGCCCCGTCACCCCCCTTGTTTCCTGTTCGGCTCTGGGGCCAGGCAGCTGCAGGGAAGCTCCGCACAAGGCTCTGGCTGGGGAGGCAGCTGCGTCTTGTCACTGGAGGTGACCAAGCGAAAGGGCTCTGAAGAGGGGTGTGGCGTGGGGAGGTTGTGAGGAGCGGGGCCCAGCAGCTGGGGTGTGGGACCAGGAGGGGACAAGCAGACAGGTCCTGCTGCACCCCTCCCTGCCAAGCAGGCAACGGAGCCTCAGTGGCGGCTGCACAGGGACCACCTGGCTCAGACACCTACATGGAGAGACGCTGCAACCCTGGCCCAGCCCTCCATCCTAGACTGAGCCCCGATCCCCAGCCCAGCTCTGACCCCGAACTATGCCCTGACCCTGGCTGAACCCAAATCCTGAGTTTAGCCTAACTTGAGGCTAACAAGTGGACACACAACCCACGTGTCCACTGAGAGAAGAATGAATAAACCCAACGTGGTCCGTCCACATGCTGGAGTACCACTCAGCCATGACAAGAGACGAGGCTCTGACACAGGCCACAGTGTGGATGGACCTTGAGGACATCGTGCTCAGTGAGAGACGCCAGACAGAAGGACACACAGTGTGTGACTGCATTTACATGAAATGTCCAGAACAGGCAGAGCCACGGAGACGGGACGTGGATTCGTGGTCGCCAGGGGCTGGGGGAGGGGTCGGGGAGTGACTGCTCACGGGGTTGTGGTTTCTTTTGAGAGTGATAAAAATGTTCTAACACTGATTGTAGTGACGGTCGCACAACTCTTTGAATACACTAAAAGCCACTGAATTGTATATTTTATTTTTAAAAAATTTATGTTTGTAGAGATGGGGGTCTTGCTATGTTGCTCAGGCTGGTCTCGAACACCTGGGCTCGAGCCATCCTCCTGCCTGGGTCTCCCAAAGTGCTGGGATTACAGGCGTGAGCCACCACACCCTGCTGAGTATGGATTTCGTTCATAAAATCCAGTCGTAACACAGTCGTAAAAACTAATTTTTAATTTTTTTTTTTAATGGAGGAGGAAGCCATGAAAGTAAAAATGCCTCAAGCCCATGAAAGTCTTAATGCAGGTCTGACGGGTCTTCCAACTTCCTTAGGTTTGAAACTTTCCACGATAAAAAGCTTTTAAGAAGTGTTGGATGACTACCTGTGTTACCTGTGCCAGGTGATCAAGGTTCTCACCAGCAGTGATACGTCACGTTGCCAGCACTAACCCTCGATAGGATGTGATGAGAAGGGCCCTCACTTCTGACCTCTTCCTCTCCTAGACCTGTCACCCGGTCTAAGCGGACCAAACCCAATTGAGGGGCTTTCTACAAAACACCTGTTATGGGTTGAAATGTGTCCCCTGCGCCACAAAAGATATGTTCAAGTTAAAACCCTGGTACCTATGAATGGGGCCTTATCTGGGAATAGAGTCTTGGCAGATGTGATCAAGTTCAGATGAGGCCATTAGGGTGGACCCTAATCCAATATGACTAGGGCGCCCGGGTGGAGTCCTGGGGCAGCAAGAGGGCATTAGGGGAAAACTAAGGAAATATGAATGAAGAACAGTTAACAACAATATACCAATATTGGCTCATTAATTGTAAACAGATGCGCCACACTAAGATGTTATTCATGGGAGAAACTCGCTGTGGGGTATATGAGAACTCTCTGGAATATTTTCATAATTTTTCTGCAAACCTAAAGCTGCTCTAAAAAGATAAAAGTTTTTACAGGGTCTCGCTATGTTGCCCAGGCTGGCCTGGAACTCCTGGACTCAAGCGAGCTTCCCACCTTGGCCTCCCAAGCAACTGGGACTATAGGCATGCACCTGATTTATTTACTTATTTTTTTAAGTAAAAGCAAATGAATAGGCTCTTGGCTCTGCTACCTCCCAGGTGTGTGACCTTAGTCAAATCATTCTATTTTTCTGTGCCTCAGTTTCCTCGTCTGTAAAATGGGGGTGATATGGCCCTCACTGCGTGGGGCTGCCCTGAGGATGGTGAGAGACCTCATTAGAGCCAGGTGGGGGCCGCAGCCGGAATTTTGGGTGAGGAGCAACCCAGAGATCTGCTCAGAAGTGCCCCCCATAGTTCTGGGGCCAGCACCAAGCACAGGTGGGTGGACAAGTAGAACTTTTTTTTTCCTTCCTACCCCATGTTGCTACCCACCCCTCCCCACAACCGCTGGTCCCCAGGGTGTACAAGGATGATGCCGGTGACACAGCCCCTAAGAAATCACAGGCCTCCAGGATGTCACGTCTTTAATGTCCACCCCGCAAGGGGCCCCGCTGAGGGTGAGGGAATAAATACAACGTTTTGCGTGCATTTAAGATGCGGCTGCCCAGCTCCCAGTCTGGGAAGGAGGAGAATGCCTGTGGGCCTCGGTTTCCCTCATCTGTAAACCCGGGCGCAACACACCATGAGCCTCGGGACTCTTCTCCCCGGCAAAGCGAAGTCCCCGCCCTAGTAGGGTCCTGGGGATAGTGGGGGGCCCCCTCCGGGAGGGAGCGCCTTCTGCTGTCCACCAGGGGGCACCAGAGTCCACTCTGAAGGCGCCAGAGTCTCACTCCAATCCCCGGGTGTGCGTCACCCACAGGGGTCCCGGACCCCTGCCCAGCAGGTGATATACCCAGGCGTGGGGCTCCTTTGAGACACCCGCCCACCCAAGTCCTCGATCCCTTCATTTCTTCCCCTTTTCCTCCACCCTGGCATCCCAAATGGCCGTTTTGCTCCCTCCCTTTCAAAGGAGGTAAACTGAGTCAAGCAAGGGAAAGAACCGGCGTGGGGTCGGGGGCTGTCCTGGTGAGAGGTGAGGAAGAGAGGGGGTGACGGCGGGCGGCCCTTGGGGTTCGCTCCGGCCACCCCTGCCGCCCACCTGCCCGCAGGTGCTGCCTGCCCACGTGGGGCCTGGGTCACAGCAGGTTGATCTCATCCAGGTAGCGGGCGAGCACCGAGTCCCGGACGTCCTTGAAGACCTTGCGGATGTTCTGCGTGTCCGTGGCGCACGTGTAGTGGCTGAAGAGGCGACGGGAGCGCGGGCCCTTCTTGCTGCCCTCGGGGCCGTCGGCGCAGCCGGTGTACATCCTGGTGTACATCTCCAGGATGAACCTCTTGGCAGCCTCCGCGTCCTGCTTGGGACCTGGGGAAAGGAGTCGGGGAGGGGGGTCGGATCAGGACCCTCTCTCTTGGGTCCTAGGAGGGCTTTACAGACCCCGTTCCCCATAACCAGGCCTGGAAAGGCCCGAGGGACCACCACTCCCGCCATGTTTCCTCTCAGTTGACGCCATCTTTTGTTTTCATGGCTGGTCACATGACTCGGGCCCAGCCAATGGGAGCATCAAGGAGGAGCTCAGGAGAGTCATGTGACCTGAAACAGACCAATGAGACTCAGCTCTGAGATTTGGGGCCAACTGTCTTCAAGAGAGACCGTCTGTCCCCTTGGCTTGGAGCTGGGGGTGGTTGGGAACCTGGAGCTGCAGAGACAGGACTCCTGGGACTGGGTAGATGGGAAAACAGGCCGAGGAAGAGGAAGGGAGTCCCCACAGTCAGCTTGGGTGGATGCCCTGATGAGGCATGTCAGGGAGCTCAGTACTATGTACTGAAAGCACAATATGAATTAAGAGTTTCTAGGCCGGGCGCGGTGGCTCACGCCTGTAATCCTAGCACTTCGGGAAGCCGAGGTGGGCGGATCGTTCTGAGCTCAGGCGTTCGAGACCAGCCTAAGCAAGAGCGAGACCTCGTCTCTACCAAAAAATGGAAAGAAATTAATTGGACAGCTAAAAATATATGTAGAAAAAATTAGCCGGGCATGGTGGCACGTGCCTGTAGTCCCAGCTACTCGGGAGGCTGAGACAGTAGGATCGCTTGAGCCCAGGAGTTTGAGGTTGCTGTGAGCTAGGCTGACACCACGGCACTCGCCCCAGGCAAGAGAGTGAGACTCTGTCTCAAAAAAAAAAAAAAAAAAAAGAGTTTCTAGAACCCGCGACTTGGCTCTGGCTACTCATGAGTTGGGTTATCTAATATACTAATCCCTGTAGGCCTCAGTTTCCTTGTTCTTAAAACGGGGATCAGAACAGTCCCAGAACTCACAGAGTTGTTTGTAGGGTTTCATATTATGTTAAGGACTCGGCCGTTAATAAACAGAGTAGCACAGTCGTTAAGGCCAGATGCTCTGGCTCTGGGTCCAGGCAGTCTGCGTTCAGATCGAGCCTCTGCCACTCACTGGCTGTGTGACTGTTGGCAAGTGACTGCACCACTCTGTGCCTCAGTTTCCCCATCTCTGTAATGCTTAGAAAAATAAGTCCTACTGCATGGGGTTTTTTAAAGGAGGATTGAACAAGCCATGTAGAGTGCTCCCACCAGTGTGGTAGATGTGTTAGCTGTTGTTATTGTTTTTTATTATTATTGTCATGAATATTATTTAGTACAGAGGAGGGAAGGGCCAAGAGCTAGCAGCTGGCAAATGGTGCTCCGCCCCAGGGTGACAAGGATGAGTCATGGGGGTTCCCTTTGACCTGAATGAAAAAAAATCCCCTCAAAACTATCCACCTTGGCCAAGTGTAGTGGCCTACACCTGTAATCCCAGCACCTTGGGAGGCTGAGGTGGGAGGATCGCTTGAGGCCAAGAGTTGGAGACCAGCCTGAGCAACATAGTGAGAGCACTTTTCTACAAAAACTTAAAGAATCAGCTGGGAGTGGTGGTGATCACCTGTAGTCCCAGCTACTCGGGAGGTAGAGCCAGGAGGATCGCTTAAGCCCAGGAGTTGGAGGCTGCAGCGAGCTATCATTGTGTCACTGCATTCTGGCCTGGGTGACAGAGCAAGACCTTGTCTCAAAAACAAACAAACAAACAAAAAAACTATCTACCTTATCCTGTTCCCAAATTCTCTAAGCCAAGGGCTGATTCCCAGGACTGCGAAGCTGGGAAGGGGGGCAGTCCCAGGCCACCATCCTGGAAGAACTTGACATCTGTCTCTCAAACCCTGAGTCTTATTGATAAAATTGGCTAAAACTGGTCTCATGGGCTCCAAGATGTGACAAGGCCAGGGGTCAAACCCTGGTGACTTGACCGAAGCTTATGTTTACTGACTATTAATCCAGTGGCAAGCGTGTATTAAGGGCTTCCTCTACTATGACTGCTGGTGTATTGGGGTGAATAGTACCTGCCAAAATTCATGTCTACCTGGAACCTCAGACTATGACCTTATCTGGAAATAAAATCTTTGCAGATGTAATTAATTAAGTTAAAATGAGGTTATACTGGACTATGAGCCCTAAATCCAATGACTGGTGGCTTTACAAGAAGAGGAGAGGACACAGCGGTAATATGGCTATGTGAACGTGTAGGCAGAGATTGGACTGATGTGTCTACAAGCCAAGAAACAGGAACTGACTCCACCAACACCTTGATTTTGAACTTCTGGCCTCCTGAACTGGGAGGGAATACATTTCTGTTGTTTTAAGACATCCAGCTCTTGAGTTGGCTCTAGTCGGCCTGGCCCTTTGGCCCTCTGGATGTGCTAAAAGTTTGTTCCCAGACCTTTTTGGGACAGTTGTACGTGTCTTGATCAATACGCAGCTGAATGAAACATGACACAAACTTCTTAGCTGCAAGGGCTGCACGAAAGAGACCTGTTGTATCTATGAAAACAAAGCCACGTGCTTCGGAAAGATTGCCAAAATCTCGGTCATGGATTCAAGAACAAAAATTGCTGTCCAATTGGGTATAGCTGAGACGACCACGAAAGAAAAGAAAAAAGAAAAAGAAAAGTTTTCAAAACCTAGGCAGGTGCTGGAAATGGTAGATAACACCTTCCAGACACGCCTGAGGACGGATCTCCACGGCAAACCCACAGTCCAAAGGTCTTGGCCCAAATCCCAACGGTTGGGCAACAAGTGTGCAATGAAATGTTTAAGGTGTGTACAGGTCTGACCCTATTTGAAACTTCCAGCGACTCCATGTGGAGGTAGGGCCTGGTCTGCATCTCTCTTGGAAGCTGCTTTGGGAGGCAATGGGTATAGAAGTTTCTAGAAGCACTTACCTTGGAAACTGGGGAAGTAGGTAGCCAGGTGGGAGGTGGGGATTTTCTCTTCTAGGATGTCGGTTTTGTTGAGGAAGAGGATGACGGATGTGCTCTTGAACCAGGGAAGTTCCAGGATGGTGCCAAACAAGGCCAGGCTCTCCTGCATTCGGTTCTGCGTCCGGGGAAGAAGCGGGTCAGTGCTCAGATCGGCCGGCTCCGACCAGAGACCCTCCTCTGCGTGGGCTCAGGCTTGGGTCTGACGGGGGTGTGCCCACACTTCAGTGTGGCCAGCTGCCTGAGTGTCCCTGGCGTGGTTTTGTGCCTGCGCTGGGGGGAAGAGTGTCCTCCCAAAACTCATGTCCACCTGGAACTTCAGAGTGTGACCTTCTTTGGAGAACGGGTCCTTGAAGGTGTAATTAGTTAAGATGAGGCCATTCTAGACCAGGGCAGGCCCTAAATCCAATGACTGCTGTCCTTGTAAGAAGAGGGAAATTTAGAGTGGGCACAGTGGCTTGTGCCTGTAATCTTGGCACTTTGGGAGGCTGAGGAGGGAGGATGGCTTGAGCCCAGGAGTTTGAGACCAGCCTGGGCAACACAGCAAGACCCCTATCTCTACTTAGAAAATTTAAAAAAACAAAAAAAAAAGAGGGAAATTTGGAAATCTGGACCCAGACACACAGGGAAAATGGCCACATGAAGGCAGGGGCAGAGAGTGCAGCGATGCGGCTGCAGGCCGAGGGACATCAGGGGCTGCCAGACCAGAAAAGGTTCTAGAGGGAGCACGGCCCTGCTCACATCTTGACCTCAGACTTCCGGCCTCCAGGACCGGGTGAGAATCAGTTTCTGTGGTTTTAAGCCCCTGCATTTGTGGTCGTTTGAGACGGCAGCCACTCCGAGAGCGCCCGGCCTCAGCCTGTGTAGCCTGCTGTGTCTGAGCGGCAGCCTTGCTGAGCACGGGGTGGCCGACCTAGACCGTGCTTGGGGACCATGGGGACGGGGGTTGAATGTTTGTCCTGAGAGCGGCACATCTCTGCATGTCCAGATGCGGCTTGCACACCTGTTCGCATCTTTGCCTGTGTGCGGCCAGGCAGGCAGCTCCCAGGGCGTGAAGTCCCGTATCTGTGTCAGTGGGGACACCCAGATGTCTAGAATCTTCTAGCTGTGTGTAGTTTAATCACATATAAATACAGCGAGGTATCGAATGTCTTGTGTTATAGATTGAACTGTGTCCTCCCAAAATCCATGTGTTCAAGACCTAGCGGAATGGCACCTTCTTTGGAAAGTAGTTCCTTGCAGATGGAATTAGTTGAGATGAGCTTGTACTGGAGTAGGGGGGCCCTGATGCCATGACTGGGGTCCTTACGAACGGGGAATCTGGACACAGACACGCACACAAGGAGAGCGCCAGGAACATGAAGCAGAGATCGGGGTGATGGGTCTACACGCCAGGGGACGCTAAGGATGTGGCCACCACCAGGAGCTGGGAGAGGCCTGGGACAGACCCTCCCTCACGGCCCCAGGGGGACCCAGCCCTGTCCCCCGCCCCGACCTTGGACTTGCGGCCTCTGCAGCTGCGAGAGCATCAATATCTGTTGTTTAAGCTGCCCGGTCCGTGCAGATTTAGTACAACGGCCCCCAGGAAACGAGCTCATCTCGCGTGGCTGGATTCGGGGACAAGCTGTGTCAGAGTGACCTGAAATTCGTTCTGTCTGATTCAATCCGAAAGTCAAAATGATAACATATGACTCTCAGATCTGAAAAGCATCTTATGCGAAACTTGAACCCGCAAAATCCACGCCTCGCAGGAAATACTGTGCCCGACCTCCATGCTCGGGTGTTAAATAGGAGAATTAGGAGAAAGGTTCACGATCGCAAAAGCGGAGGCGGCCCGGGGACACCCGTTTTCTTTTTCCTACTACGGCTGTGGTTGTGTGTGTGCGGGTGGCTGTGTCTCGGGGCTGGAGTGTCCCTCCGTGTACGCGTGTGCTTGTGCGACTGAGGATGTAGGTGCCACTCACTGTGAATGGGTGGGACAACAGCCCGCGTATTCCTTGGCATGTGTGCGTGTGTGTCGCTGCGGGTCTGTCTCTGGGGGTGTAACAACAGTCTGACCACGAAAGGGCGAAGGGTCACGCTCAAAGCCACACTGGGCACACTCAGTTCTGCTCGAGAACGAGGACGCCCCGCTTTCTGCAACAGCGTCCTGCTCCAATGCGGGGCTGACAGGGTGACGGGAGTGACAGAGACGGTGGCCTCTCACCTCCTGGTTGTTCTCCTCCAGACACTGGTCATACTCGCTCAGCGAGGCCAGGTAGATGAGGGCGATCACGTTCTCGAAGCAGTGGATCCACTTCTTGCGCTCTGACTTCTGGCCCCCGACGTCCACGATCCTGCCGGGAACCAGGACGCCCCCATTCAGAGCTCAGGACCCCGCCACGTGGCACCCCAGACCCCAGTCATGTCGGGGATATGCCAATATCAGTAATAGTAACAGCAGCCAAGTGCGGTGGCTGACGCCTGTAATCCCAGCACTTTGGGAGGCTGAGGCAGGAGGATCACTTAAGCCCAGGAGTTTGAGACCAGACTGGGCAACATAGCAAGACTCCGTCTCTACAAAAAATAGAAAAATTAGCCAGGCATGGTGGCGCCTATAGTCCTAGCTACTCAGGAGGCTGAGGCAGGAGGATTGCTTGAGCCCGGGAGTTGGAGGCTGCAGTGAGCTACGATCCCGCCACTGCCAACCCCTGGGCCAATGCTTTTTGTAGACTATAATGTCACCCCTGAGAGTCAGGATGAATCTGACACCCATTTTACAGATGAGGAGACTGAGAGGCAGGGAGGAGACAGGGCTTTCCCAAGCTTTTCCTGTGCCAGGCTGCCTGCTGTCTACCCCCGCGGGAGAGTAGCAGGTTGGAGAGATCTGGGGTGTGCCCTGGCTCAGGGTGGGGGACCCGGAGGGAAACTGCCAAATGTATCTAGAACTCGGTCAAATGGGGCTACCGTGTTCCGGCTGCCTGTGGGGCGTCCAGTGGCCACACAGATGGGAGTGAGGCTGCTCCCAGGGCAGACGCCACTGTCCCCTCCGTCCACGGCCCAGAGCACCGGCCTCCGCCCCACACACCACAACAAAAGCCTCAGCGCCGCCCTGCCTTCCTGTTCTCTCTTCTGAGAAATGTGGGTCACCGATAACAGTCTGTGCGTCACTTCCCTGGGGACGCAACCGTTACTCAGGAAATGCCAGAGCGGAGGCTTTGGACAGGCCCGGGCCAGAAGCCGCAAGCAAGAAGAGACTTGCCCCATGGTACGAGAGGGGAAACCGAGGACGGTGACTCAGCAGTCGGGCTGTGGCTGGTGCCTGTGTCTCCTGGTCCCTGAGGCCAGTCCCTCTCCTGTGTCCTCAGAGTCGGTCCAACCCGCACACCCG